CGCAGTCCTGGATTGGTCTCTGACCCACAGGGACAGAGGGTCTCTGGTGCCTGCCCGCAATGATTTGCAGCATCCGCTGCTGTGGATTTCTTTAATGGCTAGTGAGAGGTCGTGAGATCCAGAAATGATCCTGCAAAGTTTTTGTTTAGACGCATTAGGTTCTCATAGTAAGGTCACAATCCCTCCCTCCCTCAGGCATGGGGAGTGGGCTAAGATCTGAATAGTGCCTGCCAGTCTAACCATGGGGACCTTCATGTTTGGTCCGACCCTTGGGCTTGGCCATGAAGTCTGGGGCTGCCTCCTGGGGCCTCTTTCGCCATGCACACAACCCTGTCTCTGCTCCCCCACCCTCCTTCCGAGGAGTCCCCTGCAACCTGGTGAGGTGCCAGTTGCAGAGGACGGAGCGCCCAGCAGGGGTTAACCTTGCATCTTGTGCACAGAGCTTTTAGGGGATTGCCTGGTTGTGGACTTAAATTGGAAAACAAATTCCTAAGACCAGGGATCTGTAATGATGCTGATGCCAATAGAATAATCAGATTTCAGCACTGAATATGGACTCTTTCAGCAACAGTGATTAAATGTTCTACGCACAGCAAGAGTTCCCTTAAGCACCATTACTATTACTGTGACTAATCATTTAAAGATTAATAATCACCATATTTAGGTCGTTTTTTCTGAAGCACCGAGAGGCTCAGAGACTCCAATAGTTTTACTAGCTCACGAGGCTCCACGTGGTGATTGGTGGGATACTGCTTTGCTCAGGCCTTAGGGTCTGGGAATCTGTACTTGGTACTTAATTATCTGAGAAAATGAACAATACATGCTTCCCTGAGATCTCTGCCGTGGCCACTGGCTACCTGCTCCACATCTGTCTTGCTCCCGCCAGTTAGAGTGCACCTAGAGGGTGGGGGGTGGAGGCAGGGAGGTCTGCTTTGTTTGGCTTCCCACTGGGAAGCTGGTTGGGGACAGGATGTGGTGGGGATCCAGCTGCAACATTGACTGCCAGGGTCACTTCACTTGATAGGGCTTGTTGGGTGGATGCCTTTTATCCATTTGCCTTATCTCTACTCTGCAGATATCTGGGGAGGAGGGGTGGGTTCGTCCAGAGAGAAGACACTGCGAGGCCAGTGAGTGGGCCTCGGGCTGGCGGCTGCTCTAGGGAACAGAAGACGAGTTACAGCATCTCCCAGCTCTGAAGGAGGCTTAGATGAGAGGCTTTAAACAGGACCATGGCCAGTTGGTGATCTTCATTCACAGCTGTAGCAACTACTTAGAGGGGAGGCATGACCCATAGTAGTTAGTGTCTGGAAAAGGGACGAAGGCCAGGATTTGGCAGATCTGGGCTAGATTCATCCCGGAACTTTTAGGGCCACAGAACTGACCGCACTGGTTACACAGAGGTGGGTGGTGCAGAATTGCGCTCCTCCCACAGATGGAGCCGGTCCCAGATCAGCTCTACAGACCTGCTCAGCTCTGGGCTCTCCAAGGGCGTTTTGGATATCAACCCCTCCGCTGTAGAAAGATGGCTTTAAATTGCAAGTAATGACAGAATCCGCCTCAAACTAGCCTTGGATGCCTGTGGGTCCATGAGGGAACTGGGCATGTCCAGTTCAAGGGTCCAGCTTCTCTTATCAGGGTCCCGCTGCTCTCCCCATGTCTTTCAGATTTCATCCCGGGCAGGCTTTCTACAAGGCAGAGGGCCCTCGTGAGCTCTAGGCTTGTTTTTTTAATACCCAAATCTCAGAAGAAAGATTCTTTTCCACTTGGTTTCTTAAAAATGCCTCTAATGGTCTCGACCTCATAGCTCTCTCGAGCTGGGAGATCCTCCATCAGTCAGTCTGGCTCAGGCACTGCAGGCAGACGCCACCCAGCCACGGGCTGCCCTGCAGGAAGAGATGTGGGCAGAGCGAAGTGGCCCAGGACCACAGGTCCACGCGCTTCTCTGTGCTCCTCTCCGTCACTAGGTCAGCAGGCTTTGGGGGCGGCAGTCCTGGGTTTGCATATTGACTGCACCCCTTACTGACCATGTTTTCCCAGGCCAGCTGCTGAAGCTCACTAAGCCTCGGCGTTCTTACCTGGGCATGGGAACCATGATAGTATCAAAGGGAAAATGAAGAACTCAGCACATGATGAGGACTCAGTAAATATTGCCCATTATTATAGGCCATTATTGTAACCTGGCAACGCTAGAAATGACCGAGACAGACAGCGGGGACTTCTTGGCTATGTTCCTAGTCTGGCTTTGAACCACAAGGAAGTTGTTGCACACACTTCAAAAGTGAACATATCTGCGTATTCTTTCCCTGAACTGTCAGAACCAGCTTTAGAAAACTAAGACATGGTTCCTCTGCTCAGTCATGTAAACGAAAAACGATCGAAGGCCAAGGAAAGCTGGGCTCTGGCATCGTGCCCGTCCTGGTATCCTGACCCCGACCTCCCTGCGGGCTCCTCCTCTAACCCCAGCTGCCCGCGGACCGCAGCCCCAGCCGCCTTCCTCACGTGTGGGCCCGGAACAGACTAGTCATCTGAACATTTCCTTTCCATTCTTTGCTGTGGCAGTTTTAGGTGTTAATCAATGTCGAGGTAGTCTCTCCCCCTTGGGCAGGACTCTCGGACCCTGTCTCATCTATGACCCTCCAGCTCGTGACCCTTGCTCTGCCGTGTTGTGGCCGAGGGGCAGTCCTGCAGCCAGATTGTCTGGGTTTGGGTTCCAGCTCCGCTCATGGGCGTGGGCCTGGTCCAGTGTCCTCACCTCCGGATGACCTCCTGGAGTCATCATGACGATTAGATGAGTTAACATGTGAGAAACACTTAGAATAGTGGGGTGTGTAATAAAAGTGTTAGCCATTGCTATTAATATGATCTTAAACTCTTAGAACTAAACCTTTGGTTCCCCTTGAAGAGAGGAGGGAAGAGGCCTAGAACAATCCATGAAACATGATGGGCTGAACCACCCTGTGGGAGGTGGGAGACCACTGTGGGGCACTGAATGAGATAAAAGAGAGTTCTTTCCTGCAAGATGTGGTTAGGTACGAGTCGAACAGCCATCTAAAATGACATTACAAAACATGTCTGAGACAGCGGGGTGGATACCCAGTGTGTGGCTGGAGGGAAGAGCCCAGAGGAAGAATCACTTGGCATTGCAGGGGCGGCGGGGATCGAACCAGGCTTTGAAGAACCGACTTGGATGGATGGGAGGGGCTTTCCATCTGAATAAGAAACAAAGACATAGTAAGTAGGTTTGGCTGTGATGAGTGTTCCAGGAGTTCGGAAGAGCAGTGGGAGGGAAGCCTAGAACTTCAGACAGTGCTGGAAATCGGAGGGGAGAGTTTGGAAAAACTCTTACTCATCAGGGAGCCTTTGACAGGGAGGTGACCTGCCCACAACAGCCTTCCGGGAGCTCTGCCCAGTGAGAGCGAACAGGGTGACTTTTTTTTCTTTATTGATTTTAGAGAGAGAGGAAGGGAGAGGGAGAGAGATAGAAACATCCATGAGAGAGAACACCCATCAGCCGCCTCCTGCATGCCCCCCACTGGGGATTGGGCCCACAACCTGGGCGTGTGTCCTGACCGGGAACCAAACTGGTGGCCTCTTGGTGCAGGGTCGATGCCCAACCACTGAGCCGCCGGCTGGGCCGGGGTGATGCTTAGTGGGAAGGTTGCAGAGGAACAGACATGCTCACTCAGCGCATGTTCACGGGAGCCCTACTGTGAGCCAGAGATCGCTGCTCCCAGGACCCAGGCAGACAAGGCTTCTCCTCCCGGGGACCTTAAATCTTACTGAGTTCCAGTTGATCCGCTCAGGGAACATTGGTGGGTGCTGAAACGATTGGGTATAAGGTTGATGGAAAACAGGATGTTCTTATGGTCTCAGAACCTCACGGCACAGATGGCAAATGAATTACAAAGGGAAATGGGTACCTTTCTGTGGCGAGAGCTGGCATTCCCAGGGTAACCAAGTGACTACACCTGTGTGACTGAGTTGGGATTTCCTGATGTGATGCTATTCGAGGCAGATATTCTTAACTGAAGAACCTAAACAGAATCTAATCATGGGGGAACCAATCAGACGAATCCACACCATGGAGCATCCTATAAGACAGCCGACCTGGGTGCACAGAAAATTAAATGTTATTGAAAACAAACAAAAAAGGGGGTAGATTGTAGGTTAAAAGAGAATAAAGCAGGGATTGGCACACTATAGCCCATGGCAGCCCACTGCCTGCTTTGTAAATAAAGTTTTATTGGCACACAGCCACATCCATTTCTTTATATGTTGTTTAAGGCTGCTTTTATCCTACAGTGGCAGCTTCAAGTAATTGTAACAGGGACTCTATGACCTGCAACACCTAAGGTATTTGCTAACTGACCCTTTACAGAAACTTTCCTGATCCCTGGATTAAAGCAACATTATAACCAAATGAACTTTGGTCAGTTCCTGGATCAGGGTGAAAAAAAGTGAAAACATCAGTAAATAGAGACATTTAAATAAGGAGTGAAATTTGAGGACCTTACCAAATTCCTGTTAACTTTCTGAGGCACGGTGATTTTGTTGTGATTGGGTTGCCCGGTGTCCTTAGCTGTTGAATGCTGAAATATTTAGGGGATTGTGTCATGATGTCTATAGTCTACCTGAAAATGGTTCAACCAAAAAAGAAAAGAAAGAAAGAAGAAAAAGTAAAGACAAAGCAAATTAGTCAGGTGAAGGACATACACGTGTTCATTATACTATTCTTTGATTATGTCTGTGGATTTAAAGACTTTCAAAATAAAAATTAATTTAAAAAACAAAACTTGAACACAGCTGGAGGGGTTAATTTAGGGACAACGTTCAGTAGCCCTGATGCTGTTCTCCTGTAGGCCCTGGCCTGGCCTACTGATACGGCCTTCTGGCTGCTGGGGGTGGGGCAAGCTTCCTGCCCCTGAAGGGGCCCGTCACTCTGCCCCCACACGGACTTCTTTTGTAACCTAGGGGTTTTGCTTGTTGTCTCTTTTGCACAGTAATTCCATCAAGCTGGTGAATCTGCTCTCCATATTTATCAGCACGTGGCTAACGGCGGCCGGGTTCATCCATTTGGTGAGTATCCTTGAAGATGCTTTAGCTCTGGCTTCCTGGAACAAACGCCTGAGTCATTTCATTGCCTGAATTTTTTCTCCCTGCTGAGAAACTTAAGCTCAGCTGTAGAAGGTAGGAAAAGAAGAAGCAACTGCACCCTTTTCTGGGTTTCCAACCCTTTACCCCAAACTGGTTCTGCATTTTTCAGCTCACTGGTAGTGCCCTGGGCCTTTGGTACATTCTCATTCTGTCTGCAATACCCTCAATCAGCCACAAGATGGCAGTGCTTCCTCAGTAAATGCCAGAAAATGTCTTGGGGACAAGGTTGGAAGTTTGACCCACATCTCTTAGTAAACAACAAATTCAGATCCTTCAATTTCTCTACACTCCCCCCTTACAAAAAGCCACCTTTGATTCTCTTGCCTGATGACTTGTCAAGTTATTTTATATCTCAAAAATGTTAATTCTTTTAAATGAATGACTCTTTGAAAGCCTTCTATTATGAAGTCAAGCTGTTCCCACCTTTTCAGGGCAGACTTTCCCCCTGCTTTTAGGGAACACAGCTATTGTCCTGAGCCTGTTTCATACAAATACAAACTATTACACCTGGAAAGAACCTCATCTAACTCTGAAGCTTTGAGTACAGGTGCCCTTCTAGGCTGAGCCGCTCTGGCCTAAGGGTGGACGCATGCGTTTAGCTGCCTGCCATTGGGACGTAGGTGATTTTCACCCAGTGGAGCACAGCCGGATGGAAGCCCGGCTCTCATTTAGTCACTGGATCCGATGGTCCCCACCTATCTCTTTCTGCTATTGGGATTGTTGGCTGAAATCACCCTTCAATAACTACCCTAATTCTGCCAAGTGCCTAAATCGCCGATAAGGATGGGTTAGTCATTTTCTTTTTTCTTTTTTAAAAATCTTCAGATAGAGTGGGAGGGCGGGGGAGAGAGAGAGAGAAACATTGACGTGAGAGGGACACATCGACTGGTTGCCTCCCGCATGAACTCAACCAGGGCCAGGGATGAACCATAATTGAGGTATGTGCCCTTGTCTGGAATCAAACCCATGACTCTTTGGCCCGAGCGCCAATACTCTAACTGCTGAGCCCAACTGGCCAGGGCTGGGTTAGTCATTTTCAATAGGCTAGTGACCTCATCTTACTACTGTGAGAAGTACCTTCTCCTTCACCAAGAAACCTCCAGAGAAATGTCACGTTGAGGACAGGTGTTGATGTGTGAAGAAGGCCAGGTGCTGGCTTTTTCTGTAGAGGCCGAGTTGGAGGTCGGGGGGCCTGCATGCCTGGGGGGGGCTGCCCTCACACTGGCCATGCTGACGGATCACAGGCATTGGTCCTGGAGACCCAGCCCCCATCTCTCCTTCTCTCCTGAGAGCATCTAAAGTATCTCTGTTGCCTGTCTCTCAGCTTTGTGGCAGATGGAGTATGATGGGAGGACTGAAAGTGTTTTGAGAACTTGAAGGCAGAGATAAGCAAACTGCAGCCCTGAGGCCACAGGTCTCCAAATGGGACCCTGCTTTCTCGGTTTCACTGTTACCTCTGGCTGATTTCAGCCACAAGCGCAGAGTTGAGTCATCACTACAGAGATCAGACACTGTGTGGCCACAGAGCTGAAAGTATTTACTCTCCGGTCCTTTGCAGAAAAGCTTGCTAGCCCTGGGTCTGAAGTGTTGTGCAGAAGCAAACTGTTCTCATGAGCCCACTTTCCGAGCTCCCAGGAAATTGCTGCAGTTTGCAGGGTAGAGCCATTGCTGACATTCTGCAAACCAGGGAGTGCAGAGTCAGACTCCAGGAGATGCTGTTTGGGGTTTGGGTGTAAGATCTGGAGGAGCAGGGCCCTTTGCCAGATAATGAAACGAGGGGGCCTTCTGTGGGAGGCTCTAGAATTTCTCTGGGAGCGTGTGAGTTGGGCCCTCTGAGACTGAGCAGGAACTCGCTAAGGAAGGTCAGGGCAGGCTCTCTGGCTCTTTCCTTGATGGGAATGCCATAGGACATGGCCAGAGCAAGGCCCTAACGTCCAGCTGACTTCAGATCTTTACCCATGAGAAGGAAAACGAGTAGGGACATTTACTTCCGTTCCTCTCCCTCTCAGCCCCAGGCAGCTAGGAAGGCATGAGTGTGTTACTACCACTCTTCTCTCCCTGTTACCTGCTCAGCCGTCACTGGGTCACTGGCAGAACTCGGCCTGGGGCAGCAGACACCTGTGTGGAGGGGCTGCATCTCCAGAAGCATCGGCTGGAGCGTCTGTGTTCCTGCTACTGCATCTGTCCAGTGTAACGTGTTCCTTTTCTCCCCGTCCCCTTGCTTTAGGTGGAGAATTCAGGGGACCCATGGGAAAATTTCCAAAACAACCAGGCTCTTACCTACTGGGAATGTGTCTACTTACTCATGGTCACCATGTCCACTGTTGGCTATGGGGATGTTTATGCAAAAACCACGCTTGGACGCCTCTTCATGGTCTTCTTCATCCTCGGGGGACTGGTAAAAACTCTTTATTATGTTGTTGATTTTTACGACCATTAACATTTTCTGTTATCCCTTTTCTTAAAGCTTTGTATTTGGATACTGTGTTTCTGCATTAAAGCAAGTGGTCACCATAGTGTTACAATCAGGCCAAGGAAGTCCACACTGAGGGCAACTTGCCTGCGTATTTCTTTGGTGTATTAAACTTGTTCCCCAGAGGCCCAGGCTTGCTGTCCTTACTGGGGGCAGCCATTTAGCCAGGAACAGACCTAATTGTCTTAAGAAAGTGATGCTCACTTTAACTGAGAGAGTCCCTTTGTCATGTAATTCAGGACCTGACATACTGCAAGGACAATTGCTGTCCCTGGCCCTGGTAGATGCCGTCGATACCCTATAGACAGTTTGCGGTTTCAGGACTCTTCCACCCCTTGCCGATCCTCCCCAAACTTCCAACAAACACTGTGGCTAGGTCTACCCTAAAGAGTAGGGTCCCCACTCCAGAGATGGAGCGCCCCCTGGGCTTGTCCAGATGGGTGTCATGTGGCTCCATGTGTTCACTTTATAAACAGCCAACTAAGTCCATTGTGCGTGACACCTGGGGTATTTTTTCTCCCCTTTGCAAGTCAGAGGGGTTTGCTGTCTGCTTTTCTGTTCTATGCAGATCACAAGGGTCAGTTATGATGCCATTTGCAAGGGGGACTTCTGGCCATGCAGCAACGGTGGCTGCATTTTGTCTCTCAAAGCATCTCGCTTGTAGTTTAGATTTTTGCTGTGTATGACGTAAGTGACTAAATCCTACTTCACACACAGCTTCCACCTGTGTGCACCACACGCACATTTACACACTGCATACGCATAGCTCTGCTTTGTATGCACGTGACATGTACATTGAGAAATGTATGTGTATGTAAATGTACGTGCGTGTACATCAGTGTGAAGGCTCCCAGTGTCTGAGGTCCCTGTAGGCAATGAGACCCTCGTACCCAGCCACAGGTACAGTTTGTTGGACAAAACATGGCAGATTTGTGTTTCCCTTTCTGTCCTTTCCTCCTGTGTGACTTCCTAAATTTACCTTGTGTGCTTTTTGGTGATTTTTTTTTTAAATGGATAAGCCTGTATTGTTTTAATCTTCCTTTAGTATTTATTGCCTTTAATTACTTATAAAGGCATTGATTCTCCTTTGAATTTTAACTAGAAAGAAAGGTCTTCTCTTGCAGTAATTTGTGTGTGTGTGTGTGCGTGCATACTCGTGTGCATATGTGTGTATGTGCATATTTGTGTGTGTGTCTGTGTGTCGCATGAGTGTATAATTTCCCAGCATGCATCTCCCTTTACTTATTTTTCTTAGGAAGAAGAGATAGATGTCAATTATTTATTGCTGTCTCCTTCAGATTTTTCAGCTGTGATTTTTCCTTTGGTTGTCTAGGTTGCTGATGTTTGTTTTGTCCTGTGTATCTTCAGGAGCTTACCCCCCTTTTTTTTTTATAATCCAGCATATTAGTATATACCTTTACAGTTCTAATCCTTTTGTGTTTTCAGATCTTAGTAACCCCCCTTCTGAAAAGGTCACCCCTTTCTTCGGCCTGTCTTTTTAGTCTCTCTTCTGTCTCCTATCTCCTCCTCAGGCCATGTTTGCCAGCTACGTCCCTGAAATCATAGAGTTAATAGGAAACCGCAAGAAATACGGGGGCTCCTATAGTGCGGTTAGTGGAAGAAAGTAAGTATGCCCAGCGGTCTGCCGCCTCGCTGTGTGGGGTCCGCTCTGCATGCCTTGTTTTGCTCTTGTTTCTTTGTTTCATGCATGTAGGCAATGTTTGCTCGCTACGTGCCCGAAATTGCTGCTCTCATCCTGAATCGGAATAAATTCGGCGGGACTTTTAACAAACATGGAGGCAGAAAGTAAGTCAGTCGCATCAGAAAAGATGTGGTTGAGTGGCTTCCAAGAGTCCCCACCTGACAGCTGCCACTCTCCCCTCCCACGGGTGCTTCGGTGAGGGGAGGGCCACGTTCTGTGTGGGGTGTGAAGCCCAGGGCTACCCAGGTTGTCACACCTGAATCGACTGCCTAGCCTTGTTTCCATTCACGGCTTTCTTCCCGTCTCATCGTTCCAAGAGACATGGGTTGATCCTGGAAGGGTCCAGGTGCAGCTGGGCCCATCTCTTCTGTTCCGATCCCTAGCAAGTAAACTCATTCACTCCTCACCAGCTGGCTGGCTGGGTACACGGCGGTCCCTCAGACTAGGATGATGCCATCTAATGGGTTTTCTGTGCAGCAATAACATGAGATCTTACTCCAGCAAGGAAGTCTTGGGGGAGGGCAAGGTCAGGTCAAGATCAAGGTCACCTTGCCTACTGTAAGGTGTGGCCACCAGGGACCCAGTTCTCTTTAGGCAGGAGATGCAGAGCTTACTCTCAGAGAGATTCACTGCTCAGTTGAAATGCCTCTGGGCAAGAAATAGTATGTCTCTGGTATGTCAGAGCACTGCATGCCCTGGTGATGAGTCTTCTGTCTGGCTTCCCATACACAGATGCTTTCTACATGGGGTCTATTTCAACTTGCTCACTTTCTCAGTTTCAATGTGTGGGCCATCATCAACCAGAGGTTTTACTCCTGGGTACATGGCAGGGCCTCACCACTCTGTCCTGCCAGCACCATCTCCTGAGGGGAATGTTGGAGGCGGACAGGGCTGGCAGCCACCATTCTTCACTTCTTAAAAAAATCTTCTTGCCCGGCTGCTGTGGCTCAGTGGTTGAGCGTTGACCCATTCACCAAGAGGTCGCTGGTTCAATTCCCAGTCAGGGCACATGCCTGGGTTGTGGGTTCGATCCCTAGTGGGGGGTGTGCAGGAGGCAGCCGCATGATGTTTCTCTCTCATCAATGTTTTTCTCTCTCTCTTTCCTCCCTTCCTCTCTCTCAAATTAGTAAAAGCATATTGAGAAATAAAAAGCAGCTTCTTGGGCACACAGTGTTGTTTCTGAGGTTTTGTATTTTTGTTTTTGTTGTTGTTTAAACTTCTATAGATGAGATGCACCCACCTGTATTGTACAGCTCAGGACACCTGTGCCTGTGTGCCCGCCGGCACCCCCCCAGACCTAGGTGCAGACTGTTGCCATCGCTCGCCTCTTCCCCGGGACAGAAGCTCCTGCGCTGGGACTAGGTGTTTTCCACCCCTTTTCAGACAAGCTCTTAAACGGCCTGTTTGGTTTTTAAGCGAAAATCCGACCCGCAGCGGGCGTCCCTCCCCGTCCTCGCCTGACAGTCCCGCTCGGTGGGCGAGCTGCTCTCTTGGCTGCCGCAGCACACCCAGCTCAGGTGTCCAGCCTCTGCCAGAAGAGGAGGAGGTGGGGAAAAGGCTCATTTTCTTGAAGTACCCACAGGGCACCAGCTCCCTTTCAACGGAACAAAGGACGGTGGGTGAGAGGAGCCAGTTGGCCTCTGTCTGTGGCGGCTGCGCTCCGCCTTCCCTGTGCCGGGCCTCGTCCTCCTGGTCCCTTAACAGCCCTGGCTGAGATGAGGACCAAGCTGTTCTGATTTCTGGGCCACTGGTTGGATCCGAAAGGCCAAATACGTCTGGAGGCCCCCACTGGCCGTTTGTTCCGTGTCAGGGTGAAAGCAGCTTCTCTCTCGTCCTGCCTTTAAGGTGTGGACAGGTGGCCATAAAGCAGGAGGGGTTCCGAGCCCGGGGCTCTGTGCGGCCTCCAGCCCCCTGTCCCAGCCAGTGTTTCCCATGGCTGCCTCCAGAGGACACTCAAGTGCCCAAATCTGTGTCGAAAATATTTCTTGACTCTCACTCCAGGTCAGTTTTTGCCCCCAAATAATTTCCCAAGCCCAATGTGGGTGGTCCTGGTGGCCGACAGCTTTCGTGCGGGGTGATCCTGCTCGGGCCCTCAGACCGATACCTACTCACTAGCCTGGTCTGATGGGTCACTTTCGCCTTGGCGTTTCCGCTGCAACCTCCCGGTGGTGACTTCAGATCACAGGCTTCCCGCAGCTTTGGTTCTGCCCTTCATCTCTGTAGTCTCCATCACCGCTCGTAGCCGCTCATTTTTTCATCCTCTCTCTCTTGTTTTCTGTTCTCTTTATGAAAATGTGCACTTTGCTTTTAACATTCTCTTTGGATCTCCAGTGTTCGCCGACCCTGCGGACAGAGCGGGTTCTGTCATCAGCACCGGGACTGCTCACTTCACTTTACGCATTGTTTCCTGGTTCAAAAGCTAATTACTAAGTAGTTTAAAGAAGCCCTTTGGTCACTTAGATCTTTCATCAGAAAGTATAAGCTTGGGAAAGGAACGGTAATAAAGGCCATTAGCACCCTTTGTTTGATGTTGTTTTTGCAGTCAGTAGAACAAGATTGATGAAATGTTATGTTTGGCCAAAATTTGAGTTTTCATTTGGAATTCAGTGTTGAGAGAATGGGCTGTCAGAATCAATAAGTTTCCTTGCGCTTGGGATACGGGCATGTGGTAGTAATTAGCAATATAAGGTCTTTAGTTGAGCAACCAAGCATGGATTCTGGCAGAAAACATAATGAGAAACTACAGTTGTTCTATTTCTAACGTCAAAAAGTTTCCAGATAAAATTAAATGCATTTGCAAAAGGAAAGCAGCTAAACTTTGTTGAAAGATCGAGCGCAGACTCTGAAAATCGCATGCTTCGCTGTGTGTTTGTGTGTGCATGAGTATATGTGCTGTGCTCATGGACACACTTACAGACACGCTGCTCCCTGGGATGTAATCAAGTGGGTGCCCAGAAAGTAATTAAAACATATACATCATTAAGGGATTTGTTTACATTTGCATATTTTACTCAGGAATAACCTCCCTAAAAATGCATTAACTTGTCAGAGAATTCAAGGTAACTCGTGACCCAAAACTATGGAGACACACAACTTTGAAATCCAAAGATTATTTAGAGTAAAAGAAAATTGGGCAGAGAAGCTTGGGGGTTTGTTTATGGGACACCTGGTTTTAGGGTGTTGGGAAAGATGAAGGTTTCACTGGCACCTCATTTTCAGTGTGAGTTTGGCAGACGTCCCGTAAGGTCCCCAGAGCATCTTCATCAGTGCAGCATTGACGGTCTGCATGGCTGACTCCAGCCAGCTCAGCAGTAGTCTGTGCTGACCCCCTACCCGATGTCCCAGGCCAATGGGGGTGAGCTGGGGCTCCTAAGAATAGGGACTTGCATGTCAACAACCAAGGGTTCCAGGAATGACCAAGAAAGGCAGTCTTTCCAGGTTGGAGGTCTTGGGGACAATTAGCCCTGTGGGCTGAGTCCCCACATTTTATTCAGAAGCGTAGCGTGCCTGCAGCCAGCCATCCCGCTTGCTTTCATGTACTGTCCAAGCTGCTCGGAGGTGGGGGGCGGAGGGGTGAGGCTCTCATGGCCTTTGTGATCCCAGCTCTCCATCCTCCCACAGTCCCTGCTGTTCCCCCAGAGGGTTCCCTCTGTGTGTGACTCAGCCCACTCGGGTTAGTTTATGAGAACTGACAAGATCATGGTCCGAGGTCACATGGCCAAGGGCCATGGAAAATAATCAGCCACAGAGAGAGGAATCCATCTGCTTCAACCCCCTTGTCAGAGGCAGCCTAATGGGGAGCCGTCCAGACCTCACATTTGCTATGCTGGGCTTCTGGGGCCCCAAACTGAGGCAATACCTTAGGCCAGGTGTTTGGGGCCGAGGAAAATGGGGTGGGATGGCTTATTCTCCGGATTCCTTGTAGCCAGATACTGAGAAGATACACAGAAAGAGGAGTGAATGGCAGAGGACAGGGAGTGGGCAAAGGGGGCAGGAAGTGCATGGTTCACTTGGAGGAAATGTCCCCAGCTGAACGAGAAAGCTGGACCCCCTCTGGTTGGGGAGCTGTCACAGACCACCAGGTCTACTCTACAAAGCTGTCTGTGAAGCGTAGACGCTCGGGCTTCCCTGGGAACACTTCCTGTGTACTGCTGGCAGGAGGCCAGGAATCAGACAGCACAAAGCCCTAGGACCGCCTTCCATGACAATGATAATAACTACAAACACTTGCCTATTTCTTTTTTTTTTTTTAATATGTTTTTATTGATTTTTGAGAGAGAGAAAGGGAGAGAGAGAAACAGCAATGTGAAAGAGATACATCGATTGGCTGTCTCCTGCACACCCCCTACTGGGGATTGAGCCCACAACCCGGCATGTGCTCTGATCAGGAATTGAACCTGGACCTCTCGGTCCATGGGACAACGCTGAATCCACTGAGGCGTACTGGCTGGGCCACTTGCATATTTCTTGATTGGCTCAGCAACCTGTGAGGAAGGTATTATCATCATCTTCATTTGCAGTGAGTGAGGAGGCTGAGGAACAGAGAGGCTACGTGACTTTCCTGACATCACACAGCTAGTAAAGGGTGGATGTGGGATTTGACCGGGGTCAATATGCTTCGCTGGGTCATGTTGTGTCTCTAGACCATCTCTGGAGACCCCTGTTTTGCTCTGAACTCAGAGATTATCATTGTGCATTTTTCTTCACCTCGATCCTCAAGCGGGGCCAGGCACTGCATATGCTGGGGAGGAAGAAATGCGTATCACTTTGGGCCTGTCTCCTCCCTCCGATTAGTTAGACCTCTAAGGTTCCTGGCCCCAGGGTCAAGGACAAAAAGGTGGAGAGGGACAAAACCATTTCTTTCTTTTATTTTTCTCATTCAATTAGATGAGAAATGTACCTTTTGAACGCTTCTGACAAGG